GGTCCACCGCCAGCGTCTCCAGCTGCACCTGCGACCCGGGCTTCACCGGGGAGAACTGCGAGATCGGTGAGTGGGGGGCTGCAGGACCTGAGACGGGCCCGGTGTGCCCCCGCCCCACCCCGTCGCGCAGAGCTCCAACCCCTGCCCTGCGGGGCCGGGCGCGCGGGTGGGCTCACGCGTGTGTCCGGGGGCTGGCCCCCGCGTCTCCCCGGCAGACATCGACGACTGCCTGTCCAGCCCCTGCCAGAACGGAGGCACCTGCATCGACGAGATCAACTCCTTCGTCTGCCTCTGCCTGCCCAGCTACGGGGGCAGCCTCTGCGAGAAAGGTGCGGGGGTGCGGGACAGAGACTCGGCCCCGAGGCCTGGAGGGAGTGGGGTGCAACCGCGAGCTCCCCTCCCCGCCCGTCCAGCCCCGGGCCCGGCTCCCTCCTGACTCGGGCTGCCCCGCAGACACGGAGGGCTGCGACCACAACTGGCACAAGTTCCAGGGCCACTGCTACCGCTACTTCGCGCACCGGCGCTCCTGGGAGGATGCGGAGCGTGACTGCCGCCGCCGCGCCGGGCACCTCACCAGCATCCACTCGCGGGAGGAGCACGGCTTCATCAACAGTACGGGCTCCCCACGGGGCTGGGGGCGACCGGGGCTGGCCCGGGCACAGAGCGGGGGTCCTTGCCCGGCTCCCTCTCCCGGAGGCCCCTGGCTTGGGCAGCGCCCGCCGCGGTGACCCCCTCGCGCGTGACTCCCCGCAGGCTTCGGGCACGAGAACACCTGGATCGGGCTCAACGACCGCATCGTGGAGCGCGATTTCCAGTGGACCGACAACACCGGCCTGGTGAGCCCCGGGGGCGGGAGCCGAATCCCCCTGTGCTAGGGAGAGGCGGCGGCGTGGCGTCCGTCCGGGGGGAGGGGGGGGGGGGGCCCGGGCCGTGCCGGCTGCCGGTGCCCCCCAGCAATACGAGAACTGGCGCGAGAACCAGCCCGACAACTTCTTCGCGGGCGGCGAGGACTGCGTGGTGCTGGTGTCGCACGAGATCGGCAAGTGGAACGACGTGCCCTGCAACTACAACCTGCCCTACATCTGCAAGAAGGGCACAGGTACCCGCTCCCGCCACCTGCCCGCGGAGCCAGCCTCGCACCTGCTGGCTGGGAAAGAAGGGGCTGGGGGGACTATATATTGTCTTGGGATGTGGGCATGGCACCTAATGGGGCCGGGGCCGGGCATGGGCATGGATATAGCCATGGGCATGGGCATAGCCATAGTCATATGGGAATGGATATAGCCATGGGCATAGTGCAAGCTGCTTTCCCCGGTAGGCCAGGATGAGCGCTTAGGGCCCAGGGTGGGTCAAAGTCAACACTTAGCCTCTGGGCCCAGAGCCATGCCAAGGGTGGCAGAGCCGTGCTCCGACACGGCCAGCACGGCAGCGGGGGCAAAGGGCAGGAGTGCGGGGCAGGAGGGGAGACTGCCGCCGGCAGACTTCCACCGCGCTCCTGGCACACGGAGCTTGGTCCCTGGCTCAGGCCCTGCTCCCGGGCCCAATGGAGACCTTCCAGCCCTTCCTCCCTTGACAGGCGCCTCTGCCGCCCCCCGAGAGGCAGGAGCTGGGGGGAGGGGAGCCCCCAAGGCCGAGAGAGGAAGCTGGAAACGTGCGGCTTGTGGGGGGGGGAGCTGCCTGATTATTTTTTTTAAGGGGGAGGGGGTATGTGTGTGTGTGTGTGTGTGTGTGTGTGTGTTGGGGGGGGCTTGTTGGGGGGGGCTCATAATCTGGCTGCGGCCAGGCCAGACCCCCCCTCTTCCCCCGCGACTGCTTAACTCTCAGCAGTGCGGGCCCCTTGCCAGGCAGCCCGCTGTGGGCGTGAGCCCGGGCGCGGCCCGACGGGAGGCCGGGTCCTGCCCCCCAGTGCGGGCTGGAGCCAGGCTGGGCTGCGGGGGGCGGACGAGCTCGGCTTCCAGGAGCCCCCTCCCTTAATGCACCACGTGCGAGGGGGCAGTGCTGGGCCAGCTGGCTCCCGGCCCCGCTTCCTGTGCTCCAGGCTGCCGGGCCTGGCACAGGCTCCATGTGCTCTGCCACAGACATCCCGCCTGCCCTCGGGCACGTCCCTTAGCCGGACTGCTGCACGCCCACGGGTGGGGGGCCAGCGGGCAGAAGCGGGCGGGGCTGTGACAGCCGCCCTGTGCCCCGTAGTGCTGTGCGGGCCACCGCCCGAGGTGGACAACGCCTTCCCCGTGGGCAGGAGGAAGGAGAAGTACAGCATCCACGCCACGGTGCGGTACCAGTGCACCGACGGCTTCGTGCCCCGCCACGTCCCCCCC